TTCTTCATCAGATCGACCAGCAGCTGAACGGCGTGCGGCCGGAAGTTGATGTCTCCGTCCAGCGTCAGCAGGTAGGTGTTCTCGGCGATCATCGCCTTTCGGTTGACGTCAATGGGCAGCTCCATGATTTTATGCCCCAGCAGGTAATACATGTACATCACCTGGCTCCAGCGCTTTCGGTGGCGAATCTTCATTTTGTCCTTCAGGTGAGCTATCAGCTTATTTCCGCCCGGCATCAGGTACTCCAGACGGCCTCCATACGGGGTCGGGTACTTCTTGGGCAGTTTCAGCTTCAAATCAGGCAGCTGGTGGACGTATTGGGCGGCAGTGTCTATCACCTCGACAAACTGTTTCACGAAGCGGTTCACGATCATGTCCTCGTCGTTTTCGTCGCACAACTCAAAGGCGTCATCGAAGAAGATGTGCACCTCAAATTCGTAGTAGTCCGGGTCGACGAAAGCAAGGTACTTTTGGGCGTTCCGCCTTGCCGACTGGTCCTCATCCATGCGGATCACCGACTTGAGCATCTGTATCATCTCCTCGGTGGTCTCGTGCCACATGGTCGCCACGGCGTAGATGCGAATGATCTGGTCGGCGCTGAAGGTTTCCTTCACCTTCTTTGACTTTTCATCCTGCTCGGAGATGGTCTCGTAGTGCTGCGACGGATCGGCCATGGTGGTGCCCTCCGAGTCGAGGTTGATCTCTTCGCTCTTGATCTCCTCCTCGTCGTCCCGTCGGCGGTTCAGCGCCAGCGACTGGTCGATGATCACCGAGCTGTACATTGGACTGACGAAGAGCTTCTCCGTGGTGGCCAGGCGTTCACACTTGGGCGACCAGTTGTGGACGGTGATCCAGCCCTGCGAGAGCAGCCACAGCAGCCAGACGAGCCACATGTGCCAGTCGGCGACAGCGCCATCGCGAATGAAGGGCTCCTCGGAGCACTGCCAAAAGAGGTACTTCGGAAGGAAGTAGTCGGACAGACGGCAGCTGTTCTCGAGGTGAGTGCCGCAGAAGTAGAGCAGGACACCGATAGTCGCCGGAACTAAATAGAAAGTAAGAGTTTTAAAAGATTTAACTGTCATTTGAACAGTTTCAGTTGAACTTACCCGCAATGATGATCGTCGGCGCAAAGGAGTACTTTTGAATGACAATCTTGCAGGTGAACTTGGCGACGACGTAGCAGCACCAGGTGACGACAATCTGCGCAAAGGTGAACCAGAGGGAGGTAGTCGAGCGAGAGTTGAGCTCAAAAGTCTCCCCCTCGATGCCCACAAACTGGTCAGTGTTGGCGAACTCCAGCAGGTCAGAGCGGTCTCTGGTGATGGTGATCTTATGGGAGCTGAACGCCTCGGTGAACTTGCTAAAGATGGCCATCGATGAGGCACCGTCGACGTACCAGCAAGCGGCAATCATCGTGAAGAAGATTAATAGAATCTTCCAGATGGACACGAAAATGTAGATAAAGTAGCGCGTCCGGTGAAGTCTCTTTTTTATGCTAGCCATTTTTCGGATAGTCTCAAAGGCACTGTTCTTNGGCGGCGATCATCGTGAAGAAGATTAATAGAATCTTCCAGATGGACACAAAAATGTAGATAAAGTAGCGCGTCCGGTGAAGTCTCTTTTTTATGCTAGCCATTTTTCGGATAGTCTCAAAGGCACTGTTCTTGTCGATAAAGTTTTCCCACCAGCCGAGGCTGATCATCAGACAGACGATCGGTATGAGGGCGACATTGTAGGCGAGCGGCAGGCGGTCAGCCCGGACCACTGCCGGCCAAATGAAAAGCGCCGAGCCCTGAATGGCCATGCAGACGACGTCGAGGAAGGTCTTCCAGATGCGGCCCTGTTCGTCAGAGTGACGACTGAAGATGGCGAGCAGGGCGGGAATGAAGCAGAGGCAGTTGGTTAGCTGGGCGCCCTTGACGACGTCCAGTGAAGGCAGCACGAGGAAGATGAGCAGTGAAAGGCCGACGGTGTGTAGGGATTCCATTATGAGAATCTGTAGAAAAGAGAAAAATAGTTAGTGTCAACACTAACTCTGCAGTTCTGACTTACCGTAAGGAAAGTTTGCTTGGAGGGCAAGTGGTAGCTCTTGAAAACGCAGATTCGAGCACTGCGAAAGAGCGTCATCAGCTCGGGCACGATGAGAATGAAGAAGAGACTCCAGATCCAGGCGACCCGTTCAGGGTCGTCGGCTGCAAAAACGGCCAGGTACTTCTTGTCCCGCTCCAGGCCGGGAATGGACTGCGCACAGACGGACACTGTTCGGTTGCTGCGAATCATGGAGGTCATGAAGAGGACGATGCCCTTGGAGAGCACCGCACAGGAGACGACGATGATGAAGGTGAGCAGAATGGTGAGCAGCTTGAGCAAACGGAGGAACTTTTCCACCCACTTTGAGCTGAGCGTCTCGTCTTCGTCGTCTGGCGGCGTGACAATGAACACGTCCCAGCCTTTGGTCGGCTCCAGTTGACTGCGATTGTACAGCTGGTCGCCGACGTTGTTGGCGCCTGGGCCATCCCCAGGGTGGTGGTGGTGATGTTGGTGATGGTGACCGGGAATCTTTGGGCCCTTGCCTGCCATTCCATCGTCGCCATCAGAGAGGGACACATTGTCGAGATCGTGGTGATCAGTGGAGTAGTGACTCGGATATCGACCGCCGCCGCCACTTCTGTAGTGCAGTTGCTGCTGCACTTGTTTACCGTTACCCCTTGAGAAGGAGTAAATATCACTGTTGTTGGTCATCGTGCTCAGGGGCGACGAGACAGAGGATGGGGGAGTATTTTAAAGGAGAGTAGTTGTCCTCTACCAGAGAGAAAGAGGGGGCTGCATGGCTGGCAGTGTTCTTTTAGGGCCTACTTTCAGGAGAAGTTGTTGCAGTAGTGGTAGTGGTGATGATGTAATCGACTTTTTTCTTGCAAACGTCAAACGTCTGTCTGGCCATTTATGGCAGGCGTAGGAGTGCACGAGTATATATGGTAGACTAGGCTGTTGTGGTGGAGAATGATGATTCAGATGATGATGATGATGGTAGTATTCAGTTGGTCAGTGGTGATATCAACAGTCGAGAAATGAGCAGTATTCTGGTGCAGTGTTGAGGGGCAGGAAAGAGAGAATGCACACAAAGATGGCTGTCCACGTTAGCAGGTGATTGCCGCGGCCTCGCTTGCTCGTGGCAGGAGCAGCAGCTATCGAAAACGAGATCGAGAACGAAGGCGAAATGGAATTTCAATTGCGAGGCGGCGTCGATGGCTGTGCGGCGAAAGGAAGGCTCTCACCATCGAGGAAGCACAGTCCCACAGCAGTCTCAACGGCGATCTACTTTGGGCTGGACGACTGGATGCGACTGCTGTTCCAGTGCTGCTGCTTCTCTTTCTTCACCCGTGTGCCCTTACTGCCGCCTTGCTGCTGCTTCAGCTCTTTTCCACGTTTCCATTGAGAAGAAGAAGAAGTTCACTGCTGCTGCTGCTGCGGTTGCCGTTTGTAGTGGCACGTTGCCGCTAAGCTCCTTCGCCGTGGTCAGTGCCGTTGGGCGAAGAGCACTTGGCGTCGTTGGCGTCTGGCTGCCGTTGGCACACTCTGCGTCGACAGTTTCAGTGCTGATGGCATTCAAAGAAGGTGAGGCGCAGTCTGTGTGCTCGTGGTGGTGGTGGTGCTGATGCTGATGCTGTTGATGACTGATCGAGAGCTCTCCTTCCCTTTCAACTAGATGGGCGTCAGGTATGGCTGTAGAGTGGACGGCAGTGCAGACAATGGCGCCACTGTGCAAGTGTGGAATGTGCTCACCGCTCCAAAGTGTCTCAAATCGAAATTGTGACGCTCAGAAAGCTCTCTCCCGCACTAGTGAACAAGAGAAGCTCAGGAAAGCTTCAGTTCAGGAAAGGCAGAAAAGACCTGTGCGAGAAGAGACGGCGGTGGGCAACGGGAGCAGGTTTTCATCGGCGCCAACGCCAGCAGAGGCAGTAGTGCTAGCAGCAGCAGTCTTCACAGGAAGATAACGGTCAGAAGAAGAAGGAGAAGAAGGGATTGCAGTGGCACAGACTGCCACAGGTGGGTCACGGGTGGCCGGTAGGTGCAACGACAACCGGCAAACTGACGCACTCACAGTGTGCACTCTCTGGTCGGAGGCCAAGTTGGCCACTATCGTCTGACGTTCATTCAGTCAGCCTGCCATCAGCAGCAGCAGCACTTCCCAACCTGTCCGCGACCAGTGGACAGCACAGTGGCTATATTTAAAGCGACGAGAAGCAAGCGTCTTGACCTACTTTCTGGTGGTGGGAGAGAAAGAGGCAAATGAGGGAAGACGTGAGTGCGGGATAAATACTGACACACTGTGATTGAGGCTTACCTCGGGGTGGCGTCACTCGCTGATTGACAGTTGCTCACTTCTTCACCGAAGGAGGAATGCCATTCTGTAAGGAATTGTAGAGATATTCAATAAACGAAAGTCTTCTTGTGTCACTGACTTGTCTAAACATTTTTTCGCTTTAGTAGTTGAATCAACAATAAAAATTTTTAATGCACTTGTTGATGTCACCTCAATTTTATTGATTTTACTTTAGATATTTTTTTATTGTTCAAATAATAGACTTGTTTACAAATTGAAACGATCATTCTGCGGCAAGTTGTACTTGATGCCATTTGTTTTTGTGCCAATTTGCTTGTTCAGCAATTGTGCTCCTTTGTCCATTGCACTCAACTAGCGTTGGCACAAGACTACACTGCTTTTTATGTAATGCATGCAAGTTTGATTTGACTTTTACGCTACCAGACGATCTGAGAGTTTGTGTTTTATTAGATATTTAGATTAGATTGTAGCTATTTACGACATAATAGCGGCATTTGGCCGGGCATTTATGTGAATTAATTTTTGTGTGTAAAAGTCTTTTGTACAGAGCTTGCCAGTCTCAGTCAACGACAAAACAAATGTTGTTGTTGTAGGGAAAAAACAGGTTGATAAAGTAAATATAGCGTAAACATGTGTAGTTTTGTGTATTAAATGGCCACTTTTTTGTAGTACGCTAAAGACCTCTCTTCTGATTCATCGTGTTGGTACAGTGGTTCGTAGTCCAGTCGGAGCGTCGCTTTGGTTCGATTGAAGAAGTACGTGGTGCAGAAGAGGCGAACATTGGTGGTGGTCAGACCGGTGGGCAGTTTGGGCAGTACAGAGCCGAAAAGACCGAGAAGCCAGGTGTAGAGACTGAGGAAGAGGATAAACAACCAGAATGGATAGGCACGAGTGCTCAGCTTGAAGCCCCTCGCCTTGATGTACGGCTCAATGAACTCATACGGGTCGAGAATCTTGGTGTCATCGGTGATGAAAAAGTGCTCTCCAGTGACACTAGAGTCAGACTGCAGCTTGTCCTTGGCCTGTAGGCAGGCGGAGGCAACATTGCCGGCGTAAACTGGCTGAATTCGAATGAAGACGTTGTCAATTTTGCGCAGAACACCGGAGGTCTGCTTGGCAATGCTCAGAATGGTCGTCACAAAGTGTGTGTCCTCTTCGCCGTAGATCATGCTCGGTCGGAGGACGACAGTGCTCAGCTTTTGGTTGCCTGAAAGAAGAGAAAATTGTTAGGAAAATGTTGCACATTTACTGAANCACTGGCTGAATTCGAATGAAGACGTTGTCAATTTTGCGCAGAACACCGGAGGTCTGCTTGGCAATGCTCAGAATGGTCGTTACAAAGTGTGTGTCCTCTTCGCCGTAGATCATGCTCGGTCGGAGGACGACAGTGCTCAGCTTTTGGTTGCCTGAAAGAAGAGAAAATTGTTAGGAAAATGTTGCACATTTACTGAAAACAAAAGTTTTACCATTTCGCAGTTGACGTCCACTGGCTTCAGTGACCGCCTGCTCTGCCTCGTACTTAGTCTTGGAATAGTCACCGAGCAGGTGCTTCTTCGGAATAAAGGTCGTGTTCTCTGAGCCGTAGTAGATTGGATCGTAGCCGACGTTGACATCGGCGCCGCTGATGTAGACGAGGTAGGGAACGTTGCACTCCACTGCGGCGTCAATCACCTTCTGGGTGCCTAAGAATTAAAAAAAAGAAAAGTGTTAAACTGTGATGTTA